GTGACCTGTTGGAGGATTAGTCACTGGTTGCTATGTGGTGTAGTGGTTACACGTTGGGCTGTTAACCACAAGGTTGGCGGTTCAAACCCACGAGCTGCTCCTCAGGAGAAAGACTTGGCTTTCTAGTTTCATAAAGAGTTATGGTCTCGGAACCCCACAGGGGTCAGTTCTAGCCTGTCCTAGAGGGTCGGTGTGATCAGAATGCACTCCATCGCAGTGAGGGAGGTTGCTCCCTAGTTCATCACCACAAAACAGCAGCTTAAAAGAACTCACATCAGGAATCTGGACGCGGCTTAAACGAGTGCTCCTGGCTTGTGGACTCTTGAAGTTGTCACCAAGCTGTTGTCAGGGTGATTAAAAAGATGGCGTGGAGGGGCATCTGACCTCCTCCACACTAGTCCAAGGCTGATTGCTGCAAGGCAGAGGTAGACACACCTCCACTTCCCCCACACCCCTGTCTCTCTTTGCCCTGTTCTGCCACCAACTGTTCTCCCACCGTGCTCTACCTTTCCTCTGGGCTTGCTCATCTCTTGCAGGACTCAGGGACTATACTCCCGAGGAAGGGGGCTTGTGAACGACATCAGCAAGGTAAAGCACCGTCCGTCATTGGACCACCGCGGCACCTGTCCTCAGCCAGCAACCGAGTCTTTCTGGAGCAGCCCCCTGGCTCCTGGGCTCCTGCCTCCTTCTATGGGCCCGGAAGCCCGCCTGCTGTTCCGCTCCACTGTGTCCTGGTCTGTGGTCACAGTGAGGCAGTTTATCTGCCGGCCTCTGGGGGGCGTGGCTTGTGGTGCCTCAGAGATCTGACACGTGATTCTCCGTGGGCTCTTTTTCCTTGATGGTTCCCGAAATTCTCTCCGTTTCTGCTTCTGAGATGGCGCTCGGCACTGAAACGGACCCATCTCCTCTATTCCTGTTTCACACACCTGATTTGCATAGCCTCGCCCAATCATTTGGTGGGAGCTACAAAGGCCTCGATGGAAGATTCGTATGCATGAAACCACTTGTGGTAGCAATTGTACAATTCTGCTTGACGTGATTGAACAATGGACTATATATATATGTATTAATTCCCAATTAATAGTAAATTAAAAAAGACATCCCGCTTCGCCACAGCGACTAGCCAGAGCAGTTTGCCCAAGACTGTTCCAGATTCAGCACTGAACGTCCCTCATCCTGGGGGGCCCCTTGGTCCCAGGCAAACCAGGACAGGCAGTCACCCTGATTGGAGTTCATCTGAAGGCCTGGCTGAGAGAGGATCCACTTTTGAGCTCACTCACAGAGTTTGGGGGACCACAGGGCCCTCTGCACAGGGCTTCCTGACAACACGGCTCCTGACCCAGCTTCTCTGGGTGAGCAATCCAAGAGAGGGGAGAGAGGGGACCCAGGACAAAAGCCAGTGTTTTGTTTCTAACTTAACATTGGAGATGACTTCTCATCTCTTCTTCCAACAATGCCTTGGCTATTTCTGACTGTTTGCATTTTCATCTCCATTTTGAAGTCAATTTGTCAAACTGTATATCCATTTTGGAGTCAAATTTCTACATACACATACAGCACAAAGCTAGGTCTTTTTATTGGGATTGTGTTGAATCTACCGTTCAATTTGGGAGAGAATGAAAAAAAAAACCCTCAAACTGCCATAGAGTTCAT